ACTATGATAAACACTTTAGTATTCCTTTTGTATTCTACCATACAGTCTCAGTACATAAGTAGTGTAATGTGTAGTAGATAAAATCAACAATATCACTTATTTTACTCCCACTTAATATTGTTCTTTCAACTGAGAGCAATAGATGGAGCCACACAAGATATGTTCAATGTGGAACTGCAAAAAAGGACCAGACATTTGGCCCAAAGTCATCTCCATAGTAAGATACTCTTTAACAACATCAGGAAATATAGAGATAGAAGAATGATTGAAAATGAGGACAGAGTGGGAAAGAATGGGTAGAGTACCAAGGGAAAAACTGTTACAAAGATTCTGGAGTAGCAAAGAGTAAGAAGAGGTGAGATTGTGTTTTGCAAGTAAAGATTCAAATGCTGTAGTGTTGTATGGGTGGATAACTCTGAGGAATAATTTGGTGTCTTGCAGAAAAGTATGCTATGGGGTACAACAAAAATGTATTGAGGAAGAGAAGTCTTTGTAATTTGATAATGGGGCAGGCCTATGCTGTCAGGGCTCAGGTATGGATTTGACCATTGGCAATACATGAGCAACTGGCATTATGAGACAGAGTGGAGTGGTCCCCACACAAGGAGTAGATATGGATGGCATTGGAGCCATGTCTGTTGTCACAGATACAATTGAGGTTCCAGATGCCACACACTTTCCTTGGATTGGCCCCTTGGAATGACTTTGCAATGATGAGTTGGTTTTCTGCCAGCTGTACAAACAGGAGACTACCATCACTGAAGATTGAGATATTGTCAGAGTGGTTGAAGAAGCAATGAGTTTTCCTACAAAGCAGACATGCGAGGTTGCTATCTCAAAAAAACTGACCAAAAGAAGCAGCTACATCTGTGAAAAGGTAGGTTTGTAGTAGTTTGTTGGGACAAGGTCATAGTCTTAGTTGATGTAAAATGATGTTGACATGAGTGGCATATTTATGCCAGTCAAAGACAACATTACCTATGAGAATCTCCAAACAGGCCTCTTGTTCAAATTTATACCAATATGGGTATGTTTTTTTCAAAATCGTTGACCTGTCTGAAATACTCAATATAGCACTGATATTTGATCACATGATTAGTCAACTTCGAAGTGGGAGGTAAATTGGAATTGAGTGACTCCATCAGTGCTTTAGACAGAAGCTGTAGAGCAGTCAGCAGATTCTTGAAGGCTTCAAGAAAATGCAAAGGGGATAAATAGTCACTCAAGTCATTGTTGCTCCAGAGAGTGATCATTTTTTCAGAATCAAGGAGTTGTATCTTCTCCAGCTTTTCTCCACCTGATTTGAATTTGGCAATCTTAATGAGCCTAATTCTATTTTCAATCCATCTTTACAAGCTAATCTTGATGGAAACACTGTCTCTGCTGCAAGAGAATGATTCATGGGACCAGCTCTTTCCTTCCTTCCAAATGCTGGGATGACAGGTCCGATCTCTGAGGAATTTGATTTTAACAGTTACATTACAATCTCTGATGGTGTCCCATGTTTCAGGTTGCCATTGAGTATTTGAATCCAAGAGGAAGAGCTGAAGAAGATGGTTGGTAGTCAAGACCTCTGCAATGCTCTCAGCCTCCTCTTTGCATCATTGATCTGACAAATTGTGCTTTCCTGTTCTAGAGAAAGAAAAGAGGATGAGCTGGTATAACAGGCCAAGAGAGAGAGAAACAAGGGGCTGACAGCTTGATGAGATCTAAGCTCTAAGGAACAATGGAGATGTCTAACCTAGTTTGGTGTGCTTTTGGTGAGGCAAAGGAGATTGTTATCCTTACCATCTACCTTCTCAACATCTACCTTCTCAACATCTACCTTCTCAACATCAGGAATTGCCTTCCTTCACTACTTCACTTTTCCACAAATGAGCAAATAGAGCCAGTCAGAAACTCTCCTCAAAATATACATACAAAATTTGTGGGTCTTTTTGGAGTTGACAAACATTTCAGTAGCTGTCAACATTTAGAGAGCAAACAATTCAATAAGATATGTGCATGATTGAGTGAAAGATGTCTCAGTCATCATGCACTCTGCCATGACATAACCAATGGTAAACCCAAAAGGAATTGAGGTGGCAGTGAGTATCTACATCATGCATGCCTTATCTCACACTGAGGCTAGCTGGCTTTGCACGTAGCCCCAGCTGAAACAAGGTTTAGCAGGAGCTTTCTGAGGCCTATGGACATTTCCAAACAAGCAGTCTTCAAAGGTGTCAGGACCAATCAATGTTTGTGTAGTTTGAACACATATGTTTCTGAACTGGCTACTTTGTTTATGAGGTTTCAAACCATATAGGTTGAAAGCACCTGCCTGTGATGCATTGATTAGTACAAGATGTTCACTAGGTGGAAATACCAGTGCTTGCCATCAAAGGTCACCAACTGGTGCATCTGCATATTGAACACCTAAGAAAGAGATGATTTCTGATGAATCACTCCTGACACCAACAAACATACCATCTATGTAGGATGGAAGTTTGCATAGAACATAAGTACATGGACAATGTAAAAACAAACTTACAGTCTAATTTTACTGTGGGTCCTACATTGGTGTTTGCAAGTACAAATGTAGCAAGGGCTGAGCCAGTTAGTGAGTGCCAGCTTATTTTTCTGGGCCGAAAATGGAGTCATGGGCAAGAATAACACTGCAAAGGCTGATCATTCATTGAAAATATTAATCCCATGGCCTGATGGTCTAGTAGTATGATTCCTTGTTAGGGTATGTTTGAATAGTGTCATACACTTACTCGAGGAGGTCCCGGGTTCAATTCCCGGTCAGGCCCTTGTTTCTTTTTTCTGATACCTCAACGAACGACAGAGACGCTCGCTCCTGAACCTGTTGTCGAGACTAGCAACTTAGAAGCAAACGTTTAATGTCAAGGGAAAAGCTGTCAGCCTTTGTAGGTGGGCTGGCAAGTCGAGGATCGGTGTATTTGTGGATGTGGGACATGGTTGAACTGGGGCAGAGGTATGTAAGAGCATGAGCGGATTGCTACGAAGACATGGGGCGACGTGTGAGCATCAAATATCGAGGGATGATTGACCTTGCAGGAATCCGGTTTATCATATACCCGTCCTCCCTCATCCTCGGCCTGCCTTCGTTACCGACTCACATCGCGATTGGAGCAGAAGGGGGCTGAGTCAATTAAGGATTATCGAACGAAGAAAGATCTAGAAAGGAAGTTGCATATCTCTCGGGATAATCATACTAAAGTAATATAAGAAACTAACCTTCCAGAGTTTGGAGCAACCAATGCAGCGTATCATCCGGGACAGCGGGAGGTTGTCAAAAGTGGATCGGGCAAGGGTGGGGCGTGTGCTGGAGATAATGGCTCGGTTTCTAAAGAGAGGAACGAGAACAGTTGTGGGACGGGCTCTGCTAAGACATAGACAATCTTGTGGCACATTGATGTGTTTTTATTGCTTTCTACATATGTAAGTACAGATTTCGTGGGCACGAGTTGTATCATAACAACGAGATTCTCGACCTTAACAGTGCCGCATTTCACGGCCACTCAACCAGGATTGTCTCCTATGCACCTCTCTGATAGCCACGCCAAAGGCCTCGCTGTCTTGAGGGGCCGGCAATCTGGAGGACTCCATAATATGGCGAGTTATCTGGATCATGCGCAACCTCGGTAACATTTTGTTTCTGACGGCATCAAGGATAGCTTCGAAAAATGACTCGGTTTCACAGGCGTTAGTCCATGTCACCAATTCAATGACCTCAAGGTCTGGGTAGGGTTCAGTGAAGTCAAACGAGGCGAAATACAGTATTCAATGGCCAGAGTCAGAGATCGCAGATGAGGACAGAAGCCGTCCATGACAATAGAGTCTCCGGCATATACAAGATGGGTGAGAGAGGTGGGGAAGAGCCTAAAAGCTTTATTGAGACCTTCCTCGTCAGCTTCCTCGTTGCCATTTGTATCATAACGGGTGATGTCAAGATGTCGTAAGCGGGGAAAGTTGCATTGTTGAAACAGCCTCGAATCAAATCGGTCGAGCCGTAGTGTGTGTAGCGATGGGATAGTATAAGGCGCCGATGCGGAAAAAGGGGGCCACTGAGAATGTTCTTTGGCAGCCTTGAACTCTGATAGAGTAGCTGCGTCGAACCAACCGGAAGAAGTGGAATCATCCCAACTGTCTTTCACGCTCAATGGTAGATGACACCTCCCCCTCGGGATTTCGCGTTCTTTTGGCTCCTCATCGTCATATACGTTATTCTCCGGATCGAAACAAGTCGCGTGGATAATGCAACACGCTTCAAGCTTCAAAAAATAACGTAACATCATCTCCACGCGGTCCATGCGAATTTGCAACCCGTGCAATTCGAGGCGCCGAAGGTTCCTCGAGCAATATGTTGCAATGATCTTCCACAACGACTTGTGAGTGAGATGTGGATAAACGTTTCCATCCGATGGCGGGATTACTCGGGGCATGAGCGCACGAGGCCCCATGATGTGTGGCCACTCTCGTACCAGGCGTCATCTCTGTAAGGGTGACTCTCTCTTAAACCCAAATAAAAGTCGAGGCGCCGACATTTGTGTCCTCGGGGAGTGCGAAAGCCGGGAGGAGTGCTTTTCAGTCGTTCAAGAAGAACTGGAATATATTCGAACCGGAATATCATCACGATCTCGTAGAGGTCAGCTTCCATAATATTGTGAAAGGCTTTAGAGACTACGGAAATGTTCCTTTTCGTAGTCATGGATTGAAGGACGAGCTGGACTATTACTTCGCGGTCCTCAAAGACAATGGAGAGAGAGGTGTCAAGTGCCTCTGGAACAAGTGTTGCTTCTCGAAAGATTCTGAAAAGTATCTCTGTAGGTACAGAAGACATGGTTTGACAAGACCTTGGTTGAGTGGAGCCCATCGAACGTTGCACGAACTTTTGAGTTCCCAGTATAGCTAGTGACGGGCGATTCTCGGCGATTGAACGACTACAGCGCATGTGGTCGCTTCCCCAACAACTCGAGTTAGGTGCCAAGGAGATTTTTGTGTATTTTTTCCGATTTTCCGCGAACACAGGGGTGGCTCAGTGGCAGGCCGGGAATCCATCAGAGCGGGGCATAGCTTACCTCCGGCCCCAAGTTAGCAACTCAAAACATTTATGTCAAGGGGAAAAGCTGTCAGCCTTACAACAAAACAATAACCAAAACACTCAAGGCAATGGCTGGCAATAGGTTTTGAAATCTGAGCGCTGGCATTCGTCCTTGTCTCTCGTAATATTGCGTCGCATTTCGATCGTGAGTATTCAAGGTTACAATTATGCTCATACTCCAATTACGTAATACCAAACGAACGCATCGGTGAAGCAATTTTCAGAGGTCCGCAAATTTATTGGTCGCCTGGCCGGTATGAGATCTTCGGGGGCAGAAGTAAGCCTGATAATTGCGACGTACCTCTACTAGTAGTTTCGCGATGCCAGGTTCGCGTGACGAGTGACCCGCATCTGGTACGATGTGAAGCTCCGCTTCGGGGAATGCCTTCTTCAATGTGTAGGCAGTGGTAGCCTTGGACCCATTGTGAGAAGTTGACAATAACAAGACTACATTGTCCTTACAGGACAAACTACATCATATCTGCCTTGAACAACGACCGTGGGGATGTGTCGGCTATTGGACGAAATGTCAGAGTTAGCCACATGTGTCGTAACATATAAGAACTTGCATCTTGTCTATACCCTGCTTCTCCAACAGTTGACCATCCCTCATGAATCCCTAGAAATAGGTCATCATCTTGCCATGACAAACTACCAGAAATACCCTATACCTCGTTCACAAAGTAGTGGTTCTCAATTCGTGCAAATGCACTTCATGAGACCTAGTTAGACAAAGAGGCGGAGACTGCAAAAGAAACATACTTCGCAAACTCATCGTCTTCAACGCGTTGAAGGTAAGCAGGGTCGACAAAGAGCCTAGAGGTAGCCATCCTTCGCAGATATAATAAGACTCAAGTATGCCAGAACTAGTTGAGTTATGATACTTACTCCCACTTGGCCCAAGCTCTCGCTGCGTTGATGCGTGTCTCGTCATCAGCAGAATTAAGTTGTGCGTGATAAGCAAGCATCAAGTCGCCACGCTCAGCCTCAGGAATAGGCGCGATGTATTCATCCCTTCATTAAATTGATATATCACTTTATCACTCGTAGTCCAAGGATTTGCTCTTTACCAAGCTTCGGGGAAAAGATGCGAGGTCCCTTCTTGATAGAAGAATTTGAGTTCGCTGCCGAGGACTCAAGTTGAACAGGCATGAATAGAGCGTATTTAAGGATAGCATACCTCTTTCTTAGAGTGAATATGCCGCTTTTTAGAACATCAGTTGAGTTAAGCTACAAAACTCGTTTCCGCAACTTACCGCAACACAAGGGATTTGACGCGGTCAGGGAAGGTCTAAAGCATGATGAGCTTACATTCAGTAGAACAACCACTGTAATTGATTTACTTGAGCATAGGCCAAAGAAAGAGTAGAACCCTAGAAGTCTCTTTAGTTGACTCATTGGCATACATAAGATAGAACAAACCCAGGAGCCTCCGAAAACGTGCCACTTGTCGATCTTGAGCTCTTCTCTAACCTTCTCGATATCTTTTACGAGGTCCCAGGTCGTGTTTTCTTCAAGACACGCGCTCCTAGGAAATGCAGTCGATTACACTGTTGATGACAACGGAGATAGTGTTCGTACGGGGTTGATTTTCCTGCGCCTCTCTGATCGAAGAGAATTATCTGTGTGCGTGGTTCGTTGAATGAAGAGAAGTGGGGTGAGGGGCCAACACACCTTGTACTTCTCTGGGTCGAAGAAACTGCGATCGGCAGCATCGGTACCACCGCCTGGTCCTCCTGCATTGCCCAGTAAATGGAAAAAGGTTTATGACAGTTCAACGACGTCACTCTCACCGTGGACGAAAACCACTAATCTCCCCAAGATCAGTACATTGTGAAAGACAGAACAGATGTGATTGCACCTGGATTTCCATCCTTGTTTCCAGACACTTCGTAGCTGTTCAGACAGAGTCGATTAGGCTTCGCTTGGAGCTTGCGGGGGGGTCACACTCACTAAAGGGTATGAATATCGGAAACCTTGAGAGTGCCGGTCAGGTATGGCTCGATCAGGGGATACATGGTACTCGATTTAGTGGCCTGTAACTTGGAGTAAAGTGTCCTACGTAGGAGAGAAGGCGAGATGAAGGATGAGCGGGGAAGACGCGGATAAGGAAAGCAAGTGACTCTCAGGCCACGAGCTACATAGGAACAGCGCATTAGCATCGCCTAATCCGGTGTGCGACGTTCACGATTCAATATTTCTTGAGCTCGTTGATAACCATTCCAGTAACTCTTCTCAGCTCAACGTCAAGCAGAGTTGCTCTTGAATAAATTTATCTTGACCGGGACCGAGACCGGTGATCGCGATACGTGATGGGTTTCCAAATTTCCAGAGAAGCCCGAACTGATACTTATACCTTACCCTCGTTTAACTATTCGGGTTCGCCTCCACCTCGAGGCTGCTGTCACTCTTTCCTGCCATGGCAGACAAGGTCTACGAACCTATCCCTCCACCTACAGTTCGCGACGCCGACCCAAGAGCAAACCTCTCTGATGCCGAACAGGAAATGTACGATGAGGTTCTCCAGCACTTTTCGGATTCCGCATATTCATTACCTGGGGTCGAGGAAAAGGGCGAGCTCACAGAGGCTGAGAAATTTTGGCTATCTCGTGAATGTTTCCTAAGGTCAGTGACAACTCTCGTCACCTGTCCATTCTCCAACTCACAGAAATGTTTGCAGGTATC